CCCCCTATGATTCCTGTGCTTGGCCCTTATTCCTCAGCCCTGTGGTCTGTGTCTTCTCCTCTCTCCAGCTTCTAGTATCATCATTGAGTTTGCCTGGCAGCCTTTTCCCTCCCTCCATCCTGTGGTTCTTCCAGCCCCAGGTCAGGCCATAGGCCATCACCCTTCCTCCTCTGCTCAGAGTGAGGCCCTCCAAGTCCAGCATCCAGTATCAATGGACCTAAATGTGGTCTGCACTGGGATTCACCAGACAGGGCTCCTTTCCATTACTTGCAGCACTCATTTCAGGCACTGATCCCATGCTCCAACTTTTATGTCCTCCCAGGTCTGTTTCCTGACTGCAACTCCTCCTGGAGTCACTTGCTTGGTGGGTGATAGAAAGGACTCTGGAGCCGGACCATGTAAGTCCAATCACAGCTCTACAGCATACCAGCAAGGAGACCTTGGGTATGCTATTGGCCACCTGGTTGTTCAGTTTCCCTGTCATCTGTAAAACAGGGAAGTTTAGGTTAATTTGTGTAAACCACATAGAACAGTGGCTGGTCTCAGAAAGTGCCCTATGCGCTATTGTTACTCCTACTACCATTCCTTCCCATGGTCATTTACACAGCTTGTACATCATCTTAAAAGCCAAGCAACCACCACCCTTAACGTCCCAGGCCTCTACTCCACCTGTTGTACCCCTTGTGCCTTATTCCCTGAAAGAGTTGATCTTGCTCACCAGCTCCACCCTTCACTTCCTGGCCCACATCAGCCCAGCTCCTGCCCTTGAATTCAGAATAATTGTCTCATCAATTACCCAAGCCAGCTGACATTCTTCAGAGTATTCTTTCTGGACCAGACACAGCTTCTGAAACCAGAAGTAGCTGAAATAGCCTTCTTGCATGTCTTAGCACTTAAATCTCTGGGCTTCTCTTCTGCATGTACCTGGATGCTGTGGGTTGGGTTGTCTGTTCTTTTCTGGCCTCTCCCCATGGTGTCAGGGCCTTGTGATGCAGCTGCCCTCACCACCCTGAAAGTAGGCTGGCCGTGCTGTTTTCAACCACCCTGTGCAGTGACTGAACTTTTATTTTTTTGCTACTGGGTATTGAACCCAGAGGCACTTTACCACTGAGCTACATCCCCAGTCCCTTCAATTTTTTAATTTTGGAACAGGGTCTCGCTAAGTTGCTGAGGCTGGTCTGGAATTTGTGATCCTCCTGCCTCAGTCTCCCTAGTCATTGGGATTACATGTGTGTGCCATCATTCCCGGTTTGACTGAGGCATTTTTGATGCCCTGAAATATTTCTGGTTAGGTGTGCATCTCAGTGGGTAGAGCATGTGCTTAGCATGTGCAAGGCCCTGGGTTCTTCAATCCCCAGCACACAAAGAGAAGGGATCTGAATAAATGAGTGAAACAACAAACAAAAGAATCAACATTTGGGGATAGAAGAAAAAAGAGAAAGGAAAAGAAGCCTGGTGCCCTGATTCCCCCAGTATAAGGGGAAGAAGGAGAGGCAGCAGGAAGTTGGGCAGAAGATGGGGCAAGAAGAAGATGCCGCTGCATTTTGGTCCTGTGGAGTGTGAGGGTGTTTGAGACACAGAATTGGAGCAGGAGCCCCAGGAGTGGAGCCAGTGGGAGAGGCTGGTCTGGGTGCCTCAGAGCTGTTGGATTCGAGTTGTGTGTGATAGGGTTCCATGTGGGGAGAGGATAGTATTCACATTCACTGCTCAGTTCTTAGAAATTTATTAATTATCATTCCTTAAGCATTTTCTATACTTTATGTA